GATGGGGTCGGCGACAGGAAGCATTCCAATGTACCTATACTCATACTTGTGCAAGTGGCGAATAAAAGGCTTCATATCAGTTTATTATAGTGAAGCCTTGAGGGCAGAATGGGCGTGGGCTTCAGATGCTTCCGGATCATCTGCCTGACTTCGGTCATCTGCTCGTGAGGAAATGTGAAAATAAAAATGTGGGACGTAGAGCGGTGACCACAAACTGACGCGCTGGCATGAAGGCGGCATGATGATCATTCGGCTGAGGTATGAAACCAGCCAGCGGTGGTTTTCTGGAAGGGGGGGGGGCAGTCACATGATCCACCAGATGAACACTTTCAGCAAGATCACACAGGCAGTGAGGCTACTTATTAAACTGTTTTCTGTTGTTAAAAGTTTCAGTTCCTCTCAAGGTAAAAGATGCTTAATCACAACAGGAATCCAGTTTTAATTTTGATCCAATCAACAGAACAATATAAAAATGCACATGAGATGTACAAAAGTTCGGGAAAAATATTCAGCTGAAATGTGTAACCAACATGGAACAAGAATGAGCACAACTGTCTTATGAACAATGATTAATTCAGACTTAGGAGAAACAATGATCAGGCTTTTAGCTAATATTAATTTCCAACAGTTACAATAAGATGCAGAAATGGATGAACAGATTCCAAAGAACACTGATTACAACAAATAAAAAAAACACTTTAGTGGAAATTAATTTGAATTCCTGTGAAGTATGAATATTCCAAGAAGGCTCGTCAAACACGCTGGGGCTCGGGGTCAAGTCCCGGGCTTCTCAGTTTAAATATTTTCCTTCGATAAAACTCAAAGACTATGGCAAAGACTCCACCTGCTACTCTATGGAAATGGGAGGTAGCAGGATTTACAGAAGCAAAGCAGAGCGGGTGACAAGCTTTGTGAGGGTCACAGTCATCACACGCTGTGGGTGGCACCTGTCTGACAGGCGTTTACAGGCCGCTGGGCCCCTGCCAGATGCCGTCGTCCTCTCCGGCAGTGGGCACAATCAGCAGCGGGTTTTTGTACGGACGCACTTCCAGGAGGGTCCCCTGAGGGGTGCCTACGTCCCGCGTCTCCACGCCGTCTGCCGCGCCCACCTCGCAGTCACCGGGCTCCGACACCCTTAATCCCACCTCCACTGTCTCCACCAGCTCCTGGATGAGTCTCTGGCTGGGGGCCGCAGGTCCTTCCTCTTTCATGGAGAGATGGTCGCTCTTCGGTGACAAGGAGGTCCTGTCACTGCTGAGCTGTCCCTCAACGTGGGACCAGGAAGAACTTCCCTCCATTCTCAGGCCCTCTTTCTCATCTTCCTCCTCCTCCTCTTCATCCTCTGTCTCATCTTCCTCCCCCTCATCGCCCTCCTCCTCTTGACTTTCTCCCTCCATCGCCACCTTCTCCAGAAGATCCAGCTCCAGCTCCATATCCTCCTTCGTCAGTGATGCCTTGAGTAGTGGCTCGGCCAGGGCCACCACCTTCTTGGACCTGCCGGGAGATGAAGGAACATGTGAGTGCAGCTTGATGGCCAGACCCCTAGCAGAAGTTGGGACGCTGAGATTCAGCTGTCACATTCAGGCATTCTGATCCTGTACTTGCTATTTTCCAGAAAACAGCCATCACTAAAGAGTTCATCGTGCAATTGTGTGCTCCGTGACGGTTACACTGAAAACCAGATAAAGGACCAGGGGGGGGCTATGAGGACAGGTTCCCATGACGGCAGACATCAGGCATCCTGTGTCAGGTCAGAGGGAGCCCCTTCTTCTCATTTTCTCAAACTCATGCGTGTCCCCAGTGACCCAAGCCTAAAGCCCTTGAGGAAGCTGACAGGGTCCACCAGCCCGAACACACAGAATGTGCCTCTTCTGAGTAGGCCGGGGAGTTGTGGATCTGTCATGTCAGCGTAGGCGCCAGCGGCCACGTTCAGAGCTCATTACCTTCTTTAGACACCAAAGGAGGAGCCTGAAGGAGAACTCATTTCAATCTGTGACAAGGCATGCCGCTGTGGCAGCCTCCGTACTAATCACATGCCAAATCTCACGGACAGGCGAAAATGGCACATTATTAACTCTTGGGCGAGACAGCGAACCGTCCCGGAGAGTGAAATGACCCCAGCTGAACACCTAAGAGTCTACTGAACGCCATGCAGTGCATTATAGCTTCTTGGTGTTGGGGGCTTTTACGTGTACCCCCCCCCGCCGCAGGCTGTCTTTAGGCCTGGAAGGAGAAGGCCACAGCTGATCGCTGCACATAATTAGCGGGCGAGCTCTGGCCGGTATTTTTATTGGACCTTGGGGAGCTCGAGTCACTCGCTCAGCTTGATGGTCTCCTCAGTCTGTCGGCAGAGGAACACAAATTCCGGACGCGGTTTGATCTCGGTATATCCCCCTAGGGGCTACACCTTCCCAATGGGCCGATTCACAACCCCCCCCCCCCTTCGTGACTCAATTCCCAGCGAGTGGAGTGTGATGGAATCGCCCTACACACCCCCCCCCCACCGTAAAGGGGACGGGATGCCACCAGCAGATCGCTTGGTTCTCAACAGAGATGCAAATTCACAGTCATCACGAAGCCCTCGGCTGTTCTCGGCAGACCCCACGCGGATCTCAGCATTCCCACACTCCAAACAAAGCGAAGTGTGGGGGCGGGAGATAAATCTGTGAGACGGGCGTGATCACTGTGTGCTGCCTTGGGGGGGGGGGTTCTTTGTGCCCCGCATCCTCACGGGAGGGCTCTCCTCGCTGAGAGGAAGTCTCAAATCACTTTCCCACCAGGATATTAAGGCCCTGAGTACAGCACAAAAGCTGCTCATTATCCAGGTTCCTTAAGTGCCACTCCTAGGCGTCACCCCCCTCCAACACCCACCCACCCCACACAATGGCAGTAAGAAAAGCCATGTTCTGTTTCCTTAGCTATACTCGTTAACCAATAGTACCAGGGGCGGGGGGCACACAGGACGGACGAGGCAGTGCCTCCAGGGAGTCCTCCATGTCCCCCTGGGGGGGGGGACCAGCACTCCAAAGACTCCCAGAATTCACCTCTCATGTCTGGAAGGTGTCCTTGAGCGCATGAACTGCAGGTTCCTCTGCTCCCTCCACAGTAGGAGAGTAATTTATTTTTGCCCGGATTGGGGAGGGATTAGTTCATGACGTAAGCCAATCAGGCCTTAGAGCTGTGCGCCTTTTTTTTTTTTAAATCAGAGTGGGAGGGGCTTGAGAAAGTCAAGGAATCCCGGGTAACAGAAGCATGCATGTGGGCTGCATGAGCCTGTCTTCCAAAACCACTGCACACTTAGATGATAAACTCTGCCTCACTGTTTTACAACCTCCAGCCTCCACCCAGGGACTCACAAATAGACAAACCAGCACAGGTTGGGATGTAAACAATTATAGCCAATGGTTCAATTGGTGCTCAAGGGTTTCACTTGGTCACGACACCATATTTCCATGTGCAGGACCAACGCTGGCTGTCGGCAGGTCGTCTGGCCCCAAAGGGAAGGCCGGCAATGAGGAAATCATTTCAGATGGTGCGCTCTGCCCACGAGCTCCTGGAACGGCGAGCTGGCCAGTGGACAGCCAGCATTTGGCAGTGTCCGCTTTCTAGAGGCGTGGATGGAGGCAATGAGGTCACTCGCCTCCTGCAGGGCGGAGGAGGTGGTGCGGGGGACATGGTAACCGTCACAGGCCTTGCTCAGCGAGGGGACTCACACAGCCCCGGCAAGATGGGACTGCCGTTCAGGGGGAGGATCTGAACGTGACCATCAATGACCATCTAACCCAGAGGTAATGGGGACATAAAAAAAAAAAAGTTACAGGAACTTTTAATGTTTAACTGCTTCTGCTACCTTGGAGACAGGAGGCCGCCATCTTTAAATCCCCATCATCTTTTGGTGAGGGGAGCTGTCAGATACCGATAAATGCCACCTGCACACCGGCGGATGCTTCCTAGTGCCGTTCGGTCTCCCTGGCGCTCCTGCTCAGCAGACGCCAATGAGAGTGTAGCAGGGAAAGCCCACCACGCATTACAGCACATCACTCCTTCACGGGGGCCTTCAGCAATGCTTCTGCCGCATCCCCCCGCAGTGCAGTCACCCCAAGTCCCATCTTTTCTGTCTTGGTGCACATTGATCTCCTGCTTACACTTATAGGAAAGTGCATGGAAGCAGTGCCTCTGTAAGCCATGCCTCTGTAAGCCATGCCTCAGGGGTGGAGTATGCATGAGCCCTGGGCCTAGGTCAGGGGATGACACAGCCAACCCCCGCCCCCCCAAGCCAGGGTCCCCTGCCTAACACCAACGATGTGAAATTCCTAAACAGCACCAAGGTCTAGCAGCCACCGGAACTTCTGCTGTCGGTTTGATACGCTGACTGGATACCAAAGCCCTTCTGGGGATGTTCTGCAGATTCCATTAGCGTAGCGGGAGAGTACCCTAGCCTGGCGCCCCACCCAGGGAGTACCCCGGCCCTGTGCCCTGTGCAGCCTTGGGTAGGGGGTACTCGAATGAGTAATTATATTCAGGAATAGAGCCTTACAGTCATACAGATGAGAATCACTGAAACGTTTTTGACTAAGAGGACAACCAAGACTATTCCATATATTATTTTTTGAAAAGTCTTATATGCGACAGAAACGTCATGGAGCAGTGGTGATGATGATGATGATGAAGAAAAATGAATTTCTGTACATACTGTTCATTATATAATCAACTTCGAGGTTCCTTGAAAAGCTCAGTAAGTGTCCCGGCAGAGCAAATTCAGTGGCTAAAATCATCCCACACGCTTGCCAACTGCTCTGCGCCAAACTCCACATGCTCTCCATGGAGTTAACTCAAGCTGCACTTAAAGGACACTCCCTAGCACCCAGCGTCTTAAAAACACAATGACAGGCATCAGACAGGTCAGCCTGGGACCCTGGGGGGTATGTGAACATGCGTGGACCCTGCACCTCCCCCACAGCATCTTGGGGAGGACCCCCCCTCCCCAAATAGCACCTGTAAGGTGACGATAGGTCATCCTTATTACTGCCAACGCTTTTCACCTTTTAACTGTGCGCTCCATGTGAAACCTCACTAGAGGAACAGTGTGAGTGGCGGGGCGTGTGTTGGCGCCCCCCGATGGCCACCGGGAGAGGAGCGGACCTCTCATTAGCGGCACGTATCTTGGTGCCATCCATGACAGCTGCTGTGAAATGCTGCATAGTTTTTTTATGAGGCTACTGGCTAATACTTGGAAAGGGTAGGATACACTCCCCACGCCCCGGAATCATTGCTTACGGTAAGTGATGTGTTTCAGTCCCACCCTCCAATTATCTTTAAATATCACGTCAATTTAATAAATTATTCCTGTTGCTCATGCTGGAAGGGTAGTTATACTTAACTAACCAGCTCCTGCCAGCTGTAGTTAATTTCACTTCTCTGACAAGTGGTGTTTATTTTCGCACATGGCTTCTCAGGTTTAACTGTTTATGGGAACCGGCTGCAGGACGCTTTACCGTGGCTCGCTCGCTTAGCAGGGAAACCCCGAGTTTTAAAAGCAGGTGGCTGATGGAGGATTTAAAGGCCCATGTAATGGAGTCGGTATGGACCTGACGAAGTCGACGTGCTTTCTAATTGGCGTGTGGTTCGCGAGGTGGCCATGGGGAGTAATCTTTGCAGGGTGGTGAAGATGAGAAGCATCTTGGTTCGACATCGCTGGAATGCTGCAGTCAGCCAGGAAGGAGGGGCGGAGAGTTTTGGGTGCTTTGCAAGGGGTTGGCCTGCCTAACACAGCTAAAAACAGGTAAAGGTGAACAGCTGAAGGCACGGAGCTGGTGGGTCCCGGTCCACACTGCACGTGAGCAAATAAATGTGGCTGACGGTTGGGCAGTGGGGAGACCCACATTTTCGGCACCACCTGCCAGCGCAGCAGAGCGGGCAAGCAGACAGAGACACGGTGCGTGACAGACGGACGTGGGCCGGCTCAACGCTCACGCCGCCGCTCCGGCGGGACGCTGCTCCCCCCGCTCCCCCGCTCGCTCTATCCTCAGGCTCTCTGCACTGCCAGACACGCATTTCCTGTGGCATCCCCAGGGATTAAATCACGACGTGCTCTTAACGTTGGCGTAAATCTGAGGGGGCTGTCTCGGTGGACAGGACGCCTTATCGGAGGTAAACGGCAGTCATACGGCTGAGGGGGGGGGCTAAATCATGGGCTGTACGAGCCCGTTACGAGTCCAGCACCCTTCTTGCTTGCAGCAAGTCACGCAGGAAGAAATATATGCACTGGCCGGGGCGTCGAAAGGCATCTAACAGCGAGCCGGAGACAGAAACACGGAGCCTGACCTGCGGGGTCTGTCAGAGAGTAACTAAAGATGACGACATCACACTCATTTGCCTACCGGGGGGGTGGTGGAACAGAACCAAGTGGCCCCAATGAAGTTAACCAGGGAGACATGGCTTGCATTTTTTGGAAGAAAATTACATCAGTCAGAAGCGAACAGGTTTGCTCTCGTAACGATGTAACAGCAGAGGGGCTGTCAGAGAGGCTGAGGTGGGTATACTATTGCAGGACAATATTCAATTAACCAGAATTTACATATTAGTACCAGACATACAGAATACAGAGCAGGTGTGATGAAAGGGTGGCAGCACTGTGGCATGACAGGGATCTGAATCCCCGCACTGCTGTCTGTGCAGTTCGCATGTTCTCCTCGTGTCTTGTGGGTTTCCACCTGCAGTTCAGCAAAATTTACTGCAGGCAAACCGGCATCCGTAAATGGCCCATAATATAACTATGTGTATACAGCCCCACAACCTTGTACGGGCGGTAACTGTTTGCAGGACGAATGGATGGATGGATTATCAAACGCTGGGTCAGTTAACAAAAGCATCTGAGCAAACAAGTTAACAGTGTTAGCAAAGTTAACTTTATCTACCGCTTAAAAAAAAATGATACTGAACAACTAACTAGTGTAGCTTTCTGCACTTGTATTGATTCACTGTGGTCACACCCTACTGTGGAAGTCAGTGCAAAGTGGAAAGGGGGTCTCATATGTGTACACATATGTGTACACATGCACACACAAACATATGTATACTGTGTATGCTTATACTGTACATACGTGCACACATACATGCACTGGCGTGCACAGATAGAGACGAGGTGGTGCTGAAGCACTTGCCCTTTTGCCCTCAGTCCAAAAAAGTGCCCTTTTGAAAGACGTGGTGCCCTTTT